TCCCTACGTAGTAACACCGTTAAAACGTTTCACAAACTTCCACGCACTTGATATATATATATCTGATACATTACGTATTTTATACGTACTTAGAAAAAAATCCTTCTAATCCTTTAAAAAATGATAAAATTACCGAACGAATGTCTTTTCATAATATTTAATAATTTTCAGGATGATTATGAAAGTTTATATTCATGTCTTCTTGTAAACCGTAACTGGTGTAGAATTATTGTGCCAATATTATGGGGCAAAATAGCAAGAGTATTATGTAATAAAAAACTTATAAATACATGCCTTTTAATGTTAAATGTTGAAGAGCAAACATTATTAATACCCTTTAAAATTCCCCTTTCATGTTACCCAAAACCGTTATTTGATTATACAAGTTATACTACAAATGTCAGCAATAATTTAGATCTTGGAGTTATTAATTGGCTTAATTATAATGGTTATGATAAAGTTCAGATATGGACTTATTACAATGATACTCTTGTGGACGCTATTAAATATTCTTTGGTTGCAATGTTTCTACGTACAAATAATAAACTAGAAAGTTTAGAGGTTTCTAAATTTAATTTTAATAATAAATTAATTAAAAATTTTTATGGAGAGAATACCATTACTTCCTTACATCTTTATCAAAATTTGGTTGATACAGAAGAAATAGCTGATGTTCTTTGCAAGAACACGACTTTAACTTCTTTATGTCTTGAAAGCAGTAATATCGGTACTGAAGGAGTAAAAGCAATAGCAAAAGCACTTTGTAAAAACACCACTTTAACTTCTTTAGTAATTATCAACGATAATATTGGTATTGAAGGAGGAAAAGCCTTAGCAAAAGTACTTCATACAAATAATACTTTAACCTCTTTAAATCTTAACAATAATAATATTGGTATTGAGGGAGGAAAAGCATTTGCCACGGCACTTTATATAAACACTACACTAATCTCTTTAAGTATCAATTGTAATAATATTGGTAATGAAGGAGGGAAAGCATTAGCAGAGGTTCTTTGTAAGAACACTGCTTTAACTTCGTTAAATCTTTGGGGTAATAATATTGGTAGTGAGGGAGGAAAAGCATTTGCAACAGCACTTTATATAAATACTACTTTAATTTCTTTAAATATTAATTGTAATAATATTGGTATTGAAGGAGGAAAATCATTAGCAGAGGTTCTTTACAAGAACACTACATTAACTTCATTAAACCTTTGCGATAATTATATTGGTATCGAGGGAGTAAAACTGATGTCAAAAGTACTTTATATAAACAAAACCCTAACTACTTTAGGTCTTAGTTACAATGATATTTGTATTGAGGGAGGAAAATTATTAGCAAAAGCACTTTTTGTAAACACTGCTTTAACTTCCTTATATCTTGAGAGTAATAATATTGGTACTGAAGGAGGAAAAGCATTTGCAGAAGCGCTTGGTAAAAATACTTCTCTAGCTTTTTTAAATCTTTCTTATAATCAAATTACCTCTGAAGCAATTTATGCATTAACAGAGGCTGTTCGTAAAAATACTACTTTAGTCTCCTTGTACCTTTATGGTAACCGAATCAATTATGAAGATAAGAAATTGGAAAATATCTATCGCATTTATTATTGAAATATTATAGAAATGATCAAGAGAAAAATTGTATTAGGATTCTTTATATAAATATCTTACCTCTTTTTTAAATTATATTATGAAAGTTTTAATTCAAGCCATATAGGTTACAGTTTAAAAAAAATTATGAAATATTGTGTAGCTCTAATAGAATTAATATATGTCTTGTTCCATTTGTTTTGTACACGACAGAATCTTTGGTCAAAATAGTTTTATTAAAAGCTTCTTTAGATGTATATCGCTTAATAATTTTTTTCTAACTTAAAATCTTCAAATTTTACTACAGTCTTAACAATTTTACGTTTTCAAATTTTTATATACCATATTATAAATTTCAAAAACAATATATTTTAATATATATTATTTAAATCCGCAACATCATAAATGCATATCAAACAACTACATAGTATTATTGTCATCTACGGATATAACGTAAATATATGGACCTTCGAAGATCGTGATGTAATTTCAGTTCGAATTGCCTAGAAAAAATCCAAAATTTTATTTTATTGCATAATTTCTATCCGAGACTAGGATTGTTGTGGTGAGGTTAGAAGATTTAACTCCTAATGAGGGATAGAACTACTTACAAGGATGAATAATTCCCATGAGGAAAAAGGACCAGTGTCGTAAAAATTTTAGGTAAAATTTTCCATGTGTATATTTCGTTATAAAGTGGCCATGTATGGGAGATCAGGGTTTGAAACCTCTGATCATGGTTCGTGACCACGTTAGAGATGAGCAGAATTTTGAACGTATTATTAGTTATTACTGTATTATTATTAAATATTACTTTATATTTCTTAAATTTCTTACGTAATAAGTAATTATACTAGATATTTTTCAATTTTGCATTATATTTATTGCGACACTATAAAATTTTTAATACAATTTTATAGTACATTATGAATACATAATAAAACACTATATATTTCTTTCATGTTTATATTTTATACGTATTTAAAACAGCCCAGCATTGCATATACTTTAGCAATATTTGGATATAATCTATCGCATATATAAAGCATAAATTATAAACTTTTAAAATGAAATGTTATCGAAATTTTCAAAAACAAACCAATCCTTTAAACTATCATTATCTCGGTAGTTTGTAACTTGAGAAAAGATTGTGTACTACATTCGCTAATAGCTTCATTATAAATATTCCGATCACTTGTATTAATCTTGCCCATATTTTTAATCATTTCCATTATAGTCTCCTCAGGGTTTCCAATTGTTCCTCTGATGTATAGAATTCATTATCATTTTCAAACAATTCATTAGATTGAAAATTTTTAGGTTTTATATTTTGTATATTTTCATCTTGAATCATGTGCCAATGAATACATGATAACTTGCTTGCTCGATCATTTGCTAATCTGTTGCACCGTGAAGTTGAATATTTGATATAACTGACCAAAAACATTCACATTCTGCAGAAGTAGAAGGTATAGACATTATGCAGATAGCAAAAATTCACAATTCTGGCATTTCAATTTGAATATTATTTCAAAAATATACTGGATCACTAATTAAGTATTCATCCCAATTGCCTTCGAAATCAAAAGGATAGGCTTTATTATTACAGTCAATTAATTGCATTCAAAATTATTTAATATCTTTGTCTGGAAATAGGCATTCAAATAAAAGACTTGCTTCTTTTTTTATAATTGTAGTAAGTTCTGAATGAATAGCTTTTACAAAAAACATACTTTGGATGAAGTGACCAACAAACAAGTAAAATAGAACTATACATTCTATCCCACCTATATTAAATATGGGCAAGATTAATACAAGTGATCGGAATATTTATAATGAAGCTATTAGCGAAT